CCCGTAAGATAACCTTGTTCATCTTGCTGGGCTGCCAGAAGACTAGATGAAGTCATCTCCCATTCTGTGGCCCCGCACCATTTCTCTGCCTGCTGCTTTTCAGTCCCCTTGGCTTGCTCCTCCTCACCAGCCCGTGCCTCCCATTTGTCAGTCTTCTGCCTCCTCCTTCTTCTAGGATTCCCAGGCCTAAACCATCACTCGTCACACCTGTGCTCCACATTGACACACCCAGCTGCCTCTTGGTTCTCTCTGCTCCCCTCTATTTTGAGTGTCTCAAATTAGATTTCTCAAAGACTGAATTTATCATCTTCTCCAGATACGGTGTTCTCCCTCCTAGCGATACCTCTAGCACCCATCCAACCCAGCTGCTCAGGCCAGAACCTAGGGGTTTTCTTTGACTCTACCCCAACATTCATGGATTGTAGCAGCAGCCAGAGCAACAGCAGCATTTATTTTTCACCATGTGGCCCAGGAAATAGAGACCCTGGACTGAAGAGAGAGGGAATGAGGCCAACACAAACCACACAGTATGACAGAGAATAGGAAAGAAAAGACTACCTGCTTTGCAAAGGGCTTCGTGCCCTGCTTCTGTCCTTGAGCCCAGCTGTTGCCCCACCCTTAGATTCTATAAGACCCCTGCACCACCTTCTCCAACAACCTCACCCTTATCTTGATTGATTGATTGATTGATTTTTTGCTTAAGTTAGAGTTGGGTTCTACACTTGCAAATGCAAGAGTTCTAATTAATATAAACATGATATTCATCATAATAGGCTAGGTTATACTGTAGAAATGAATAATAACCCCCACATTTAGTGGCTTCACTCCAACACACGTCCCGTCATCAGCAGGAGGCTCATTGTGGTCCCCCAGGAAGCAGCCATCATCTTGTCGGTCACTTTGCCAGAGGAAAAGAGAAACTCTGAAGGTTCTGCCATTAGCTACTCAATGCTCCAGGTCAGGAATGACTTGCCACTTCCATTCATAATTCATTAACCAGAACAAGTTCCCTTGCCCTACCTACCCATAGGCGGGGTGGGGGGGTGGGGGTGGGGGATGAAGTACAATCTAGCCATGTGTCCAGAAGGCAGAAAACCAGAAATATCTGGTGAACCTTAAACATTATTGTATATATTTTTGCTGCCTAATCTGTGCCAGGCACTGATCTAGGAGCCAGGGACAATCAATGAGTAAATCATGCCTCCCCCCCCCACCCCGCTTTTTGAGACAGTCTCATTATGTTGCCCTTGGTAGAGTGCTGTCATGTCACAGCTCACAAGAACCTCAAACTCTTGGGCTTAAGCGATTCTCTTGCCTTAGCCCCCAAAGCTGGGACTACAGGCGCCCACTACAACACCCAGCTATTTTTTTTTTTTTTGTATGTGTTGTTATTTAGCAGTCCTGGGCCGGGTTTGAACCCAGCATCTTTGGTATAGTGGCGGTGCCCTAATCATTGAGTATGGGTGCCAAACCTCATGGCCCCTTCTTAAAGGGCTCTCCATGACTATGGTACAGAACCAGTGCTGTGGTAAAGGGGTCTATGGCCCCTGAATTTCAGAATGAGGGAATGTCTAGATTGGGGGTCACCAATTCAAATGCCTACAGGGCCATGAAGCTAATGTCAACAAGTGGACTGGCAGGGAAAAGAGGCGTGGTGCTGCAGCAAACTGGAAAACATGATTTTAAAAACATCCCTACTTCTCAACTCCGCCAATTGTTGTCAGGCAGAAGGCCCAATGTTTCCAGGTCTCTCCAATTTTCTTGAGAAGGCAGAAAACCAAATATCTATGTGAAATTTCCCCATTTTTAATAGTTATTTGCAACTATTAAATAGTGGCATACACACACAAACACACACACGCACATAAATCCTATAGGCTAAACACATCTACGGGTGCAGCCCCAGCCCATGAGTGCCAGTTTGCGTGCCCATGTCCAATACAGAGAACAAGAGTTTCCCATGCTCTGCACTACCAAGAGGGCTGTGCTCAGCTGTGGGGCTGCACCTAATGGGATCCACATAAGCAAGGATTGGTACACAGGCCGGTGTGCAGGCTGGGAGGAGACTTTAAATATTTCAATTGATGGGGTAGTGCCTGTGGCTTAGGGGGCAGGGCGCCAGCCCCATACACTGAAGGTAGCAGGTTCAAACCCGGCCCTGGCCAAATTGCAACAAAAAAATAGCTGGGCATTATGGCAGGCGCCTGTAGTCCCAGCTACTTGGGAGGCTGAGGCAAGAGAATCACTTAAGCCCAGGAGTTGGAGGTTGCTGTGAGCTGTGTGATGCCATGGCATTCTACTGAGGGTGACAAAGTGAAACTCTGTCTCTACAAAAAATAAATAAATAAATAATAAATAAAATAAATATTTCAATCTGTATTTACAAATAGCCTTCTGTATGTCAGGCTCAGTGCTTATGTGCTAGAGATACAGAAGGAAAGAGGACAGATGCAGCTCTACTCTTGTGAGGCCTACTGCCTTGAGGGGAAGTTAAAGGATCTGGGGATAATTTCCCTGGAAAAGGCTCATAGAGGACAGATTATAATAAAAATAATAATATTTACTGAACTTGTATTCTGTGCCAGTGCTACTCTCAATGTTCTTAATTCTCACTGTGCACTAAGGTATGAAACTATCTTTGTTTCATATAGCGAAACTGAGGTGCTGGGAGGTCAAGTGACTCAGCTACTACTACACCATGCAGAATGATTCTCTGTGGTCCAGGCAGGTTTGGGCAGGCTGTTGAATGAGAGGAAGTACTCAAGAGGGCTAAGAAAGTCCTTGGCACCATAAATAAGTGCTAAGTAAATGTCTATTTCTATCCCAGTGTCTGGGGGGCATTCAAATAAGCTGTATGGTCACTTAGTAGGATTGCTAGAGTGGGAGGCTGAATACCAGATAGAAATGCTGAGCATTCTTTTTTTTTTTTTTTTTTTTTGAGACAGAGCCAGCTATCCCCCTGGGTAGAGTGCTGTGGCATCTCAGCTCACAGCAACCTCCAACTCCTGGGCTCAAGCGAGTCTCCTCCCTAAGCCTCCCAAATAGCTGGGACCACAGGTGCCTGCCACTACGCCTGGCTAATTTTTGGTTGCAGCTGTCATTGTTTGGTGGCCCGGGCTGGATTCGAACCCACCACCTTAGGTGTATGTGGCTGGCGCCTTAGCCACTTGAGCCACAGGCGCCAAGCCTCTAACCCCACTTTTACTGGAATTATTATTTCTCTTCTTGGTAGTGATACTGTAGGATAATTAACAACCATTCCTCACCTCCCCCAACACCCCTACAATAGCAGCATCGGCCCCGGGGGTGAGAAACTAAGGTCTAGAAAGGATATGGGCCAGATTATAGGTGAACAAACCATCAATCAACTAATATTGAGTTAAGTGTCCATGATATGTAAAGTGTATTGTTCTGAGCTCTAAGTCAGAGTGCAAAGAAAAGAACGTGACAAAGGCCTGAGGCCTAGTCCTGCCTTTGTCATTAATTTACTGTGACTTGGAGAAGATTTTTTCTAAGCCTTGTTTCGTCTGTTTACAATGAGAGGGTAGGAAAATACTTCTAAAGTCCCTTTCAGCTTGAACAATTGATATAAATTATTTGCATTCAAAAATCAGGCCTCAGATGTGGGAGGACCTTTCTTCTTAGAAGCCAGCGAGACCAAAGAACCCTTGGAACTCAACTGGATTTTAGATGTGATAATGGTCAGTATAAGGTGCCACTTTCATGTAACCAACAAGCACTTTTAAAATGTGGCCAGTCCCAAATGAGGTGTACTATAAGTATAAAACACACACTAGATTTTGTAGACTTAGAATGAGAAAAAGAATATAAAATATCTCAGTAACTCATCTATATTGTTTTATATTGACATTTTTATATATTGAGTTAATGAAAATATATTAAAATTTATATCACCCAGCTTTTACCTTTTCAAAGTATCTCCTAGGAAATGTCGAATTATGATGTAGCTCACACTCTATTTCTATTAAAGAGCATTGGTTTAATCCCAGGGAGAGCAAAGGACTTTCCCATAGAACCAGGACCATAGTCAGGGTCCCTGATTTCTCATTTCAGGCTCTTTGTACTCTTCCTAAGCTGTGGCAGCCAGGCTCCAAGATGGCCCCTAATGAAGCTTACTTCTTATTATCCTTCTGAAGCCCCTTCCACATTTCATAGGATTCATCTGTTAGGGGACTGCAGAAATGACTATATGACTTCCAAGGCTGGGCCACAAAAGACACTGTGGCTCTCATCTTGTCTCTCTCTGGCATCAAATGCTCTGGGCAAAGCCTAAAAAAGTGTACTATCATGAGACTAAAGCACCCCTATGGAGAGGTCCACATTGTGGACTGAGACATCCTGTCAGCAGCCATCTGGAAAGCTCATCCTCCAGCCCCTGTCAAGCTTTTAGACAACTGCAGCCTCAGCTAACATCTTAACTCCAAGTTCATGGCAGATCTCAACCTAGAAACACTCAGCTAAGCTTCTTCCAAATTCCTAACCCATATAAAATATATGCTAAATTTTGAAGATTTGTTACACAGCAATAGGTAGCTAAGACAAAGCCCTATATGGGCTTACATAAGAAAGGACTTACACAAGAAGTCCCTGGCACTACAAAAAGGACTACATAAGAAAAATTCACTTCTATGTTTGCCATATTTATAGTGCAAGAAATTATTCTAACCTTTCTAGCCTCTGGCCTAACTCAGGTTACCCTAACTAAAACTAGCCAACTTATTAATAACTTGGGGACTCCAACCCAGGAAGACAAGATCCCATTTCATTCTTTGAAGAGGCTTTTTTTTTAATTGCAGAAAGTACCCAGGTATCTTGCAAAAGCATCACATCATATCCCCTTCACTTGTGCCATCCAGAGATTTGATTTCCACAAAAATCAAAAGAACAAGAGCCCAGAATTGCTCAGCTATATACAGTAAGTAAATAATTGAGAGGAAATAAATAATTGAGAAATGACAGTCTTATGACATGTGAGTTTATCTAAGCTGAGACATTGATGTTAATAGTAGAGCTAGTGTTTTATACAGCATGTGTTGCTTTTCATAGTGTTTTCACATCTACTATCTCTGAGGTAGGTGGGGATGATATAAATGAACCAGGATACATATGAAAACACTGGCTCAGAGCTTAGGATTTTCTGTTAGTCTCATGGCCACAGGCCAAGTCTAGAACCTGGGTTTGGTTGGGTGACTCAAGTCAGACTTGGTGCTTCCCAACATGGGACCACTCCGGTTGTGACAACACTAAGGCTCTTCAGCTACAGCTGTCCTCAGAGATCAATGTGCACTTGTAGATCTCCTTAAAGGCCACAAGGAAAGGTGGCATTACTTCATCCACAGTGATGTGTCTCTGGAGCTCCTTACTCAGGGAAGTTACGCCTGTCCCCACCAAGCCACAGGGTACAATGTGCTCAAACCACGTGAGGTCTGTAGAGCAGTTCAGAGCCAGTCCGTGGGATGTGATGTGTCTTCCACAGCGGACTCCTGCAAGGCAAGGCAAACGGTCTTAGAACAGATACCCTTCCCTTCTCAGGCTTCAGGATCCTGTGCAATGCGAGAATTGGATTAGGTCACTGGTTTTCAAATTTTGTTTCTGGAGCAACAAGGGACTGTGCACTGATGGAGAAAGGAACAAACGCAGGGGAGGGATGTGTGGCTTCACAGAAGCTGCACTTACAGGGATTTCAGGAAATGTCCTTTAACACAAGAGATTGTGTTGCTTAAAAAAATTAGTTAGCACCCTTACTGTCATTACATTGTGTTTCATAGTAAATAACCTGGCGATTCATTTACTCGTGTCTCTCCATCCATAACGAAGCACGTTGCGCTAACTAGAAGACCCGTCTGCCTTGCTCAATATACCCTCGTTTGGCCCAGGCTCCTCCTCACCCGCCGCTCCAAGCCCCGCCCCCAGCCCTCAGGCCCCGCCCCCGCCCCGCCCCGCGGCGCTCACCGATGGCACAGATCTTTCGCTCTTCCAGCCAGACACCGGTGTAGGGCGGGGGCCGCGCGCGGGCGTCCAGCAGCCCCAGGAACTCGCACAGGCGTACAGCGCACGCCTCTAGCGCCGCCACGTGCGTGCGCAGGCGCAGGCCGAGGCGCCGCAGGTCGAGCACTGGGTGGCAGAGTAGCTGGCCTGGGCCGTGAAAGGTAGCCAGGCCACCGCGGCCTGTGGCGCACACTTCGGCGCCCAAGGTCCGCAGCCGTGCAGTTTCCTTCGGTGTCAGGCCGCCACGCAGCCCGGTTGTATACATGGGCCCCACGGGCTCGCAGAGCAGCAGCGCGCCCGCCTCAGTCCCAGACAGAGCCTCGGTGCCTGGCCCGGCTTGCAGCTGCCGCAGCCAGCGGTCCTGCACTGCCAGCAGCTCGGTGTACCGCACGCGACCCAGCCACACCAACCGAACAGCAGGTTGCCCCATCGCGCCCACTGCAGCGGCGGCAGGCGCTGGGACTGGGGGCGTGCCAAGAAGGGCGGGGACTCGGGGGCACGCCCCAACCCGTGGCTCCTGAGTTCTAGCTAGGAGTTGGTTGAAGGCTGTGTGATCCCACGACCCAGCGCTGGGTGGACCTCATCCATCCATTCATTTCAACGACCAATATTTAGTTCTTGCTGTTTTTTTGCAGGCCCTGCCCTAGGCGCTTGATACCGCAATGCACAGCGTATGAGAAAAAAGATGTGTCCTGGTAAGCTTACATTCTTACGGCACATGATAAGTATTAAAGTATTAAGTAAATAAGGTTATTTCACGTAATAATAAGTACTATGAAAACAAAAAACAGGGTAACGTGGTGTGTCCTGGATTGCGCTCCTGGAGGACTAGAGGGCGATTAGCGTGGTTAATTGGTGAACATAGGGAGTGCTTCAAGACCAGCACCTGTGACAGAGTGATGGACGTAGGATTAAGTAGGCAGAGGGAGAAGCTGAACTGTGAAATAGTTGCAGCACAGGCTGTAGCCAATCCCAAGGAATACTCCAAGGCTAGAATGACTGGCCCCTTCAGAGTTGTTCCAGATTAAAGCAGGGCGGCCAAAAATTTATTATCACTGACCAGTTATGGATACAGACAACACCTGGGAGGCACTGTAATTTTTTTTTCTTTCTTTCTTTTTCTTTTTTTTGGTGAGGTTTCTGCTCTCTGTTGAAACGGCTTACAGAGAGGGATTCAGTTGTGAGTCATCAGCAACTAACTCAGAACCTGAGGGAATGACTGGCTGGGACAGGTCCTGAGGGTGGCTCTGGACCACAGCATGTGGCAGTTGGAGTATCATTTAAGTAAATCTGAATTCATTCAGTGTACTTTTACTGACCAACTATGTGTTTGTTTCATTGCTAGCTGAAGAGGATTCAGGAGGCTGTCCTGTCTCTGTATTTCTAAATAACATACAGAACCCATTTTTTTGTATCCTCTGTCTAGCCTCTGAATCTGTCTTCCATTCTTCAGCCAAGGATTGTTCACTTGAAAACAAAGAACAGGAAAGGAAGAAAGTAGAAAAGGATAGAGTATCTTGTAGAAAATCACTCTTGGCTTGGCAGCTATAGCTCAACCAGCTAAGGCGCCAGCCACGTACACCTAAGGTGGCGGGTTCAAATCCCCAGCCCGGACCTGCCAAAACAACAATGACGGCTGCAACCAAAAAAAAATAGCCAGGCGTTGTGGCGGGCGCCTGTGGTCCCAGCTACTTGGGAGGCAGAGGCAAGAG